CTCAATTCTGAGCTGATGGAGGGGAGATTTAATGGCAATTCTGAACAAAATCTGACAACCACAGTGAGCAAATCCAGGCTCTTCTGTCTCTGGATGATTCCACCTCTTGGAAATYGGTTTTCCTTCCAAATCCCATCTTGGAATTGCTGACTAACACACGTTCAGCACTGAACAAACCCATTCCCCAAACAATTATAACACTTCAGCTTTACTCTGTCATCACTCAGCTCTTTCGTCACAGCATTAACGCCTTCAAATTAAGAAGAAATTATATAAAATCTGATTAATTAGTCCTTTTTCTTTTCAGTAAAGCCAGACCAGTTCAAGTTGTAGAATCATTTAGTAGAGAATTCTGACATTACCACACGAATTTATGAGATGCTCAGCAGAACACGACTTTTCCTCTGGACACGCTGGATTTGTTTCCAGAACATTCTACTTAACATCAGTCACAATGCTCTTTGTTTCTCCAAACTAAAATAATGAAAATTCACTTTCCACACTCCAGAGAAAATCTCTTCCTCCAGTTTTACTGGACGCCCCTCAAAATACACAGCACCACCCAAAAATAACTATGAAAAGCACGAAAAAAGAAGTAAAAACCAAAGTCTGAGGTGTTGCCAGCCTCTTTCATCCATAGGATGCTTCAGGTCAGGTATTTTTAGTGCTGGAAACCAGCATTAGTGTAGAACATGGAGCCAAACAAGGTGGGCATACAAGTTACATCCCAAAGCGACCACAGTTGAGGTGTGAGGAGAGAAAATCCCAGGAGCATGGGATGGCTGGGATGGGAAGGGACCTGAAGGATCATCCCATTCCATCCCATGGGCAGGGACAGCTTTCCCCATTCCAGGGTGCTCCAATCCCCATCCAGCCTGGCCTTGGGATCCAGGGGCAGCCACAGGCCAGGGCCTCACCCCCCTCCAGGGAAGAATTCCTTCCCAATATCCCGTCTAAATCTCTTCTCTTTTATTTAAACACCTTTCCCATCACTCTTTCTACATGTAAAAAGCTACTCTCCTGTTTTCATCCTTTAAACATTGGTGAGATCAATATTCTGTAAATTCTGAGCGTGAGGGGAGGCAGAAGGGGCAGAGGGGTCTCACCACCATATCCATCATCCTCTCCTGCCACACCATTCACAAATCCTCCAAAATGCAGATTTTTCACCGACACCAAACTCACCTAATTCTGTCGGCTTCAACAGCTCGTCCAGAGTGGTATAAAAGGGCAACTTCACCAAGCGAACCTCGGGCTTGGCCACTTTGGGGGGCAACCTGCCCAGTCCGTTCAGGTATTTGCCATAGAGGGCAGGATAGTCAATGTTGGTGGTGGGCAGAGTCCGGGGCACGGCGCTGCCGCGCTCGTAGGACGAGTGAAGGGGCAGCGATTCCGCCCGGTGCKGCGGCGGCGGCGGCGGCGGCTGCGCCACGTCCGAGCCCTTCTTGTTGTAACGGGTCTCGTAGAGCTCCTTGATCTTCTTGAACACCTCAGGGCTGCAGTCAAACTGGACCAGCTGCAAAGCTCGGGTCACTAGTTCGTGTTTTAGTCCGCTTTTACTCCTGCCAACAAAACCCAGCAACATCTGAAGATCTGAGACTCGGAAACTCATCACCATGTTCTAGGGGATAAAAAATTAAAAGATGTTCTCATAGTTATCAAAGGCAAAGGTTCAGTTCTCACTTTTTCAACTAGAATTAAAAATTCCCCCTCAAAGAATGACCCCAAACCTGTTCACCTGATTTGGTTCCCACTTCTTGTCTGAGCAACACAAAGACAAAGATCACCCACTGAAATATCACCTAAATTAGAAAAACACCAGGACAGTCATCAAATGACTCAAAAATCCCTTTGGTAGATGCTAAGCGTCCTCAGGACAGGTCAGCTGGAAGCAGGAGTGGCCACAAAGAAGATGTGAACCAAGAGTCCTCATTTGTGAAAAGAACCCATGAACTTCACCAGCCCAAGGCATCCAAAGATCCCAGGAAAACACGGAAAACTTCATCAAACAGGAAAAAAATCAACATGAGTGAGGCTAAAGTGAACTGGGGCCGCCAATCCTGGATTCCAGTGCACCTGAATGGGAAAAMCCCTCCAGAATCACCCCCACATCCAGAGGAGCTTTAAAAACACCACACATTTCAGAGTACAGAAGGATATTCAGATTATTAAAGAGAGCAGTGTGTTCCCAGGAGAACAATGCCAAGCACTCCCCTGCGATCGCAGCCTTGGTGTTGCATTGGAATTATCAGTGTCAGTGCTTGATAAGCAACAAAACCCATCTCAGCCTTCCAAAATTGCCTCTCTGTGGCACTTCAGGCCTGTAACTGTCAGCAGATTCAAAGGCCACAAGGCAACTTCCCATCAGAATCCAGGAATTCTTGTTGTTAAACCCAAATCTCCAGCCTGGTCAAGTCGGTATTTCAGTTCCTGAAACACCAAACAGCCTTAAAATTGAAAAAAAGAACAGCTAATAAAATACATGGTTTTCAAAATTCAAGTCTTCCTGGAAATAAACTTGCTAGATATTCACTCCATATCCTTCCTGGTTTATGGGAATATGGGAATTCAAGAAGAAACCCCAGTAAAAAGAATCCAGCAAAGATCCAGCAGGTCTCTCTTCCCCAACCTCTACCCCACTCTTGAATTAAATAAAAATTGAAAAGAAAGCATTAAAGGCAGGTTGCTCTGGAATCCAACAATCACAATTTCCTGGAATGAAACAGCTAGAGATGATTTTTTTTTTAAATTAAGAAAGCTACAACTGTTTCCAGAAACATTTCACAGCCACGTTTGGATGTGTGGGAATTAGATGAGAGTGAAAATGCCATTTGATTTTCTCATTTTCCCTTACATATGTCATTTAATCTGAAAACCCAAAAGCTGTTATGTCACTGTCTGTAGTTGGAACTTTTGGGAGTCGTGATGCGTCCCAAAATATCTCTGATGAGGGGAAAAAAAAGACTGATGACTAAAGAGGAGAGAAAAGATGTTTAATTGCCAGAAAGTCAGGATTTTAGAGCTCTGGATTTATGGTGCTGCTCCACTAGACACCATCTGTGAAATCCTGGAGAAATCTGGTTTGTGCCTCAGTTTTCTTCAACTAAAAAACAGAATAAGGATGGTTAAGGTTGGAAAAGGCCTCCAAGATCMTCAAGTCKGATAGAATCTCACCAGGATCATTAAACTGTGCTAGCAAATGGAGAGTGTGCTGTTCTCCCTGAGGGATTTGAGGATAAAAGGTGCATTTGGAAAGATAAATCCATCAAGACACAGCAGCAGGAGGTACCAGGAGCARAGGAGACAGGAATTCCTCCTGCAGGAATTGCTCCTAGAGCACTTCACCCAGGTCTCATGGGGTGGAAAGCAGAGCTGGAGCCAAAAGTTTCCATTTTGAAGGAATTAAGGCCCAGCAGGAGGATGAGATTTGAGCAGCAGCACATCCTCAGACAAAACAATCGTGTCACTGAGGGCTCGACCTGCTCGGTGTGAGCAGAGAGAGCTCATGGATGGATTGCTGAGATTCCCGACACTCCTGAGTGTTCCTCCCTAGGGAAACCTCGTGTAGGACTGCTCAGACCCCACCAAAAACCTGTGGGAACCCCCAAAACAGGGGTCAGACCCCACCAAAAACCTGTGGGAAGCCCAAACCAGGGCTCAGACCCCACCGAAAACCTGTGGGAAGCCCTAAAACAGGGCTCAGACCCCACCGAAAACCTGTGGGAACCCCTAAACCAGGGCTCAGACCCCATGGAAGACCTGTGGGAACCCCAAACCAGGGCTCAGACCCCACTGAAAACCTGTGGGAACCCCCAAACCAGGGCTCAGACCCCACTGAAAACCTGTGGGAACCCCAAACCAGGGCTCAGCCTGCACCAAAAACCTGTGGGAACCCCTAAAACAGGGCTCAGCCTGCACCAAAAACCTGTGGGAACCCCAAACCAGGGCTCAGACCCCACCGAAAACCTGTGGGAACCCCTAAACCAGGGCTCAGACCCCACTGAAAATCTGTGGGAACCCCTAAAACAGGGCTCAGACCCCACCAAAAACCTGTGGGAACCCCAAACCAGGGCTCAGACCTCACCAAAAACCTGTGGGAACCCCTAAAACAGGGCTCAGACCGCACTGAAAACCTGTGGGAACCCCAAACCAGGCCTCAGACCCCACCGAAAACCTGTGGGAACCCCAAACCAGGGCTCAGACCCCACCAAAAACCTGTGGGAAGCCCAAACCAGGGTTCAGACTGCACAGAAAACCTGTGGGAACCCCAAATCAGGGCTCAGACCCCACCGAAAACCTGTGGGAACCCCAAATCAGGGCTCAGACCCCACCAAAAACCTGTGGGAACCCCAAACCAGGGTTCAGACCGCACAGAAAACCTGTGGGAACCCCAAATCAGGGCTCAGACCCCACCAAAAACCTGTGGGAACCCCAAACCAGGGCTCAGACCTCACCAAAAACCTGTGGGAACCCCCAAACCAGGGCTCAGACCCCACCGAAAACCTGTGGGAACCCCAAACCAGGGCTCAGAC